TCCAGTGTAACAGACGCCAGAAACTTAAAGGAACCCGTAAAGATGTTTGCCCAAACATCACAGGCTGTGCTACCTGAGCCAGCTGATGAGGAAAGAAAACAGAATTCAAATCCATGAGGAATAAACACTGAACTTTTGATTTCTTATCAAGAATAACCATAAAAATATTATGAAAAAGCAACTCAATTAGAAAATTTCATGTGAAAAATCATTATGGTTGGCATCCCCAAAGTTAAATGCATGCTGTCATTTTGATATTCTATAAAATAGGGAATACAAAGCCAAGAAAATGTGTGGAATTTCACTTAGCCAGGGCTATAGCTCAGCAGTACAGTGCCTGCTTGGCAAGCACAAGGTTGTCAGTTTGATTCCCAGTACCAAAGAAAAATTTTTTTCACTTAGTAATTTATTGCTTTTGTATTACACTATCCAATACCCTTACATTTAAAAAAGCTCTGTTCTTTTACAAAGTTCCAGAAACTTCTGGGGCCACATTTGAACAGTTTAGGTTTGAAGTTTATACCACATTTTAGAACCAAATATAAGGTCAGCCAGTGTGCAACTTCAATATTAAACTCTCAGCCTTACTCTAAGGATACACACCACATGCATATTTGCTGTTATATATATATATATATATATATATATATATATATATATATAATGCACACATTCTCATACACATCTCAGAAATTCATACATACATGTACATGCACACAGGGAAACAAAGGCAAGAATCGTCAAACAAGGGGCGTCTCTCTTAGTTACTGAATTACAGTAGCTGCTAGAGAATTACAGCTATTATGCTCAGCTGAAACTCAGCTGAGTTTACAAAGGGAAGTGAGAATATATAACATCTCCCACTAGAACTAGATATACAGACTGAGTCTAACTCCTGCGTCCTCAGCATGAGGCCCTGCTGGGGACCTTGAATGCTCCACCACACGTCTGCTTTCATGCCCTAAGCCTGCAGTGACCAGTAGAGGGATGAGGCCCAAAAACGTGGAGATAACTGAGTTACAGTTCCAGCCACATTGGAGGCTGCATGGTACCTTGATGATAGTCACCTCCATGGCTGGTTAACAAGTACTTACTCATTAATTGATAAACTTGTCCCAGGAAATGTCTGGACTTATTGCCAGCCATTACTTTCTCAGATTTGCCTGTTTTACAGCTCTATAGACAGGTGTTTGAGAATATAAGAAATTAAAACAGAAACAGGAAAGCTTTTTAGTCCATTTTGCTAATTACTATGTCAGAGCTCATAAAGAAGAACTCCTTGGCTTTCTTCAGCACTGCATCATCTTAAAGAGCTGGGTCAGCAAGGATCTCTGCAGACAGTCGATACATATTAAACCAGTCCCAAGCAGTAAATCAAAACAACAAAAGAAAAGACAATACGGTACTCAGAAAGTACAATTTATAAGGCCTTCCTGACAACGTAGAGAACCACTAAATTACTGGTTTAGGTTTCTGTTCCATGTATGAAAGAAAAAAACTAAGGATTCTTTCTCAAACATACTTTTGACTCCAAGTATAATCACAATTGAAGTGGCAAATGCCATACTTGACGTTACTTCCTCCGGATTGTTATGCTCCCCTGAATACTGAAGTTGTTTCATTGTCTAAAATACTTCTTATGGCCCCTCCTCCCACGTCTAAGATTTGTTGTTCAACTAGCAGGACAGGAAAAGAGGTTTTGTATCCTTTTGGTTTTTGAGGCTCAAGGAAATGTGTTTTCTTTTAAAGGAACTGAGTGGGAGCCATTGGGCTTGTCATATCTCTGGGTGGGCCTCAGGTGTAGGGAAGGCTCTGCAAGACCCTCAGCAGGAGATGGTCCCAGTCCATTCCCGCCAAGGTAAGGAAAGGCCAGACACATTGAGGGGAAGCCGCCATGGGGGTCGCCAGAAGAATCTCGGGAATTCTAGATGGATTCCACAAGGGGTGCGGGACACTATCTGGTGCAGAAAATGTTAGAAAGACTTTATCTTACAGAGGGTTTGATTTGTTTCTGAGTTCTGAGGAATCAACCACTTAAAGATTAAACTAAAGGAAAGGTGCCAGGAATCTTGTCACAAATTTGGGAGGGACCCAAGCAAGACCAGTAAATGGAACTTGGCACAAAATGGCCCTCTATGTCCTAAGTAGCTGACTCAGAAGAAATTGTAAGTCGGATGAATTTATTAAAATGTTGAATATAGTTCCAAATAAGAGTATGGACAAAAGATTTAGGTTAGCACATAATTTAATTCAATTTCCTGATAGTCTTGGATAGTATTGAAGTTGCACACATTTCTGGAATTACAGAAAGAAACAGAGGATTTTTTTGCTTACCAAAAAAGTTTCCAGTTTTTAACTTAAATATTAGGAGACAGGATATTGCAACCAAAAGTTGCGTGATCCGTTTTACCTCTGATGAGAAAAATAGGATCATTGACTGTTACAAGGCAACATTCAACTTGGTAACTTGTTTAGTGGCCACTGCCTACACAAGGTTGAGACCATAGTTTTATATCAGGTGGAGTTTAAAAATCATTCTGTAACTGGAAGAGATCATCAGACTCTTAAACTTTAAGGGGCCCTTAATCCTTAGTACCTCTGGACTCCCATCATGCCAAGGAAGAGGAATTCTGCAATGCAAAGACAGCATAGGTAAGAGTGCTGCATGTGAAGCTTGGGTTCCTGAGGGTCATTATCATTTAAGACTGATTTCCCAAAAGAAATTAACGTAGGAAATGGAAGGAGCATTTATTCTTGGTGCATAAAATGTATAAATGCAGTCCCATATTTTTCTTTAATTTTTCTCTATGTTTTCTCAAAAATGTTTCCAATGTTTTACAGGATGTTCTAGAGTATATGGTTCTCAGTAACTGTCCAGTGCTCCTTATTACAGGAAATGCTTGCTCCAAAGTTATCACATCTTCATTTGTTTTAGTATTTGTACTTGCTTCCACCATAGAGGCCCAGTGATGAGTTTAATAACGTAATGATAGGATATAGAAACACTTAAAAATAATGTTGGGTGTTGGAATGACAGTACAGTAAAAGTAGAAATCTTCCCTAAAACACCCCAAACTATGAATAAAGAGCAAAATAAAAGCTAAATAATAAAAAGTGGGGAGGCTGAACTTTCTCAAATGTGAAGGGGTCACGAGGTGGAGGGAGGCGGAGGGAAGAAAGGGGGTGAGGAAGGTGTTGAGATGGGGATGCGCGGGTACAGCTCCACACAGGAATGTGCAACTTTTTAAGTAGTGCAAACAGGTACTGATAAAAGGAAAAGAAGATAGAAGCCCAAACTAAGCGTGTTATATTTAAATTGTATGGCTCATGTGACACGAAGATCGTTGGTACTAGCACCATCTACGAGCTGAAGCTAGTTGCCTTGCCATGTGGAGTCTGTAAGAATCTGCCTGCAGCTTTAACATCGTGCCATTTGGGGCTTCCTTTCTTACCTAAAGTAGTGCGGTATTGTACGAAGATGACAATGTTCTCAGTTAAAAAGACTAATAGCTTTTCATTTTGGGTATCAGTAATTTGTTAGATTTTAACCAAGATTAGAGTTCACTTTAAGTGACCACATCAATAAACATTCTTGAAAGCCACATGGATCACTCTGATTGGAATCCTGCGGAAGTACACGAAAAGGCTTTAACTCTCAGGGCTTAGTGTGAGAGAATCACGGCCAGGGCGGTCCATGAAGATGAAATAATGCTGGCTATCCTTAGCGTTCCTCAGGCAAGAACACTTCTTCTCAGGTTCCTAAAAATATTTCCAGTACACAGAAGTTGATGGAAGAGGACAGCAGGAACACACAGCGCGGGGAAACTCATCGCTCCCGCGGAAATCTTTTCTCTTTCTTTCTTTCTTTTTTTTTTTTTTTTTTTTTTTTTTTTTTTTTTTTGTCTTTTTCCTTTTTATCGGTACCAGGGATCGACTCACGACTGCCTGCTTGCAAGGCAGGCGCTTATGCCGCTGAGCTAAATCCCCAGTTTCTTCCACAGTGATCTAACCCGTTTAGGCTCTTTATTAGGAAGAATGGGAGAAAATATCTAAGAGTTGTAAGCCACCCCTTTCCTGCTATTATCGGTGCGGAGTCTGGAGAAAGAAGAAAAGACAAAAAGCTGGTTTTGCCCTAAACCACGAGGGAGGTAACGAGGCATCGAGGCCACTTCCTGCACAGGAGACCTCGGGACTGAGCCTCGCCTTTATTTCAGAAGCGGGGATGCCAACAAGGCAGCACTCTGCTGTGCGGAGCAGCAATGCTAAGAATCAAGCGAACACTTTGTCTCCAAAGTAACGGGCCCCTGGAGGAAAGGAATTATTGTGGTATTTGCAAGCTTAGTAGGCAGCTTCAAAGGTTTGCAACTAATGTAAATAAGTGGGAAAGTAAGGGCAAAGGAAGAGCAGGCAGAATGTCTGGCTACAAGGGAAAGCTTGGGATTTCCACAAAAAGGGATCTTTCACATGGTAAAGCCCTGGAGACCCCCAGGCATCCGAGGGGGCTTCCCAGGATCATTTGGGGCCCCTTCCTGAGTGAGACAGCAGTGAGACAGTCGCCTCCCACAGCCCTCTTGGTAGGAAGCAAGGAAACACTTATTTCTTCTTTTAGGAGAAATGACCACATATTTCCTAGTCTGGAGCTCTCTGTCCTGCTGTTTTAATGTGAAAGTCACTGTGGGTAACAGAATTTTTAACTTCTTTGGTTTTCAGTACTTTTGTTGGTTGTTAAGTATTCGGTTAGCACGCAGGTTTAAATTTTGTATTTATAATTTTTTGGAAACCTTTCTTCTTTCCTCTCAAACATTTTGAGTCAGCATACATTATGCCACCGTGCACACAGCCAAGCAATAATTCATCTTTGTGGACGCCAGAGACATCTCATGTATTAATTAGAAAGCCTTTCAGCGAGGAGGGTAGGAACAGGTTCCAACCACTACTAAAAACCCAGACAGGGATTTCCAGGAAGAGCAACAGAAAGTCGGTTACAAGGAATTTCTTACCCGGTCTGGGTCCAGCCAGTGAATGTACTTTGCTTTCATCTGGTACTGGGGAGAAGAAATAAAAGACAAGGATTAGACCTGCTAATAAATCAGACAATTTTTGAAATATATGTATTTGATCATAATAAGTAAAATCTTTTACTGGCAAAGATTTGAGAATTTTTTTTTTTTTTCAGCCTACACTGTGGTATTTCATTTCTCCTAAGGACACTTATAAAGGCAGCTGTGAAGAAATATATGTTAGATCTAGTATGAATATTTTAAAAATATTTTAATACTTTGTTTAGTTGGATTGCCATTTCTATAATTATAAGAAAACAAACTAAATTCAAGGGCGTAGAGATGCATAATATATAAGAAAGCTTGTTGAGCATAAAAAAGCCTATGTCCAATTCTCAAGGATTGGACTTTGGTATTTGTTCTAAATGAAGGAAAACAAAAGGGATTTGTAATTCCGCAAATCAATTCAAACACTGGACGTGGCTTGGAATAGTGGCACCTGACTGATTAGATGTCAGGGAACGCAGAGCAGTGATTCCCAAGAGACAGAAAATGACTGCAGGAAGCCCTAAGTCTCTCTAGCCCCAGCCTGCTGTCCAGAGAGAGTGTTCAGATGCTCGGACAGCAGCACAGGGGCAGGACACATAGGCAGAAGTCAGGGATGTCCCTGGCCTAGGGATATGGAGCAGGATGTCTGGGGAAGCCAGCTCAGTGAAGGGTACAGGGCAGGGATCCAGGAAGAGAGCTGTCTGAAATCCTAAGACTTATGAGAATTTCCTCATATATTAAATTGAATACTGATGATCACATATTATAAAATGAGTACCCCAAGTCTTGGCAAAGAACACCCAGACTGCAAAGACAATGGCACCTGAAATTCACACAAGGCTGAGAATAGAACATATTCCCCAAAGCTGGAATGCAAAGCTTCAAAATTCAGGGCATCAGTTAGAAACTGAGGATTCTTCCTCAATAATGTGGAAAACTAATCAAACCATTTTGAAATGCCTAGATTACCAAAGCTTAAAATTGTTTGGGAGGCACAAACAATTTGAGGAGCCTAGTAACTATTTTTTTCAAAAAAGAGTATATGTTCAATAATTATTTTTCCAAAATAAAAAAGGAAACTTTCTGAATTGCACTGGACATGTAAGGCAGGACTTATACTGACCCCATGGACGCTTTACCAGGGCGTAGAGAGGGTTTCCCAGCAGTCCCACAGGGCTATTGTTGACATTAATATCAGGAGAAGAATACATGAGAACTACTAACTCATATTCCTCATGAATCTAGGTAAAAAATCCTTAATCTTCCTCATATTCCTCATGAATCTAGGTAAAAAAAATCCTTAATCTTTTATCACTTCTGGGTGGAAAACCACTTCAATATTTGACAAAAACTGTTCATTTGTTTACCATGTCCTACTGTCTATGTCCATTTACCAAGCCCTGGTGCTCAGGGCTGAGCCAGGTGAGGGTCGCCTGCTAACCTGGAGGCCCTGCTTCTGCTCTCTTATCCAAATTGTCTGTCCCTCCTCTGGCCAGAGCGCTCAGTGATATTTAACTGACCTGGTCACTCTACATAACCTCTCTACTTCCCGTGGCCTTTCTTTTATAGACGTCTGTGTCTTTACTTTCTAGACAAAAACTGTGTCTGTGATTGTTCTGTTCGGAACTACTTGAATTTTGTTACACTTCTGTTGTACTTCCAGTAGGAAAGGAAGTTAGATGGCATTTGTCAGGCACTTAATGGTGAGCCAAAACCTGTCCTTCTGCACCCAGAAAACAGAGTAGAGCCTACAGCATAAGAAGGAAAGAACTGGAAATCAGTGATGGTGATTAAAAATAAGAAAAGCAGCTATGTTTTGTCCTGTGCACTTGGTATCTACTAATTAATTTGACCATCAAATGCCCTCTAAAGGTAACCATTACCCTCACGTCACAGAGAAAGAGAGACACAGACCTCCTCAGTAGAGGACCCAGAGCTCAAATGACACTTTCTCCATTATACTTGTGATAAGATTCAAACAAGAATTGCAGTATGGGACATTTTAAGAATGGTAAGTAGTATGAGCTAAATATAAGCAATATGCAAACACTGTATGCTGGAAAACTTATATGTATATATCCTAAATGTAGAAACCTTTCTGTGGTGCCCAAATATGAACAAGTGTTTCCTATCATTTTCTATAACATGTTCACAAATCCTCCTGAGGGTTGGCGCCAAACTGTTCATCATAGATGAAAAAACATCTTTATGAATTAAGATCCTGGCTTGAAAATTTATTCTTGTTAATTTAAAAAGTTTAAGATTATCTTAATAAGCATTCAAAAGCTACTTTAACGTTCTGTGCCTCAGTGTCGTCCATCTAACATGTGGGAAACACAGCTTACTCCACAGGTCTGTGGTAGGCAAAATACTTCAAAAGATGGCACATGCTTGATACACATTAGCCGCTATCATCCTTGTAAAGGCGACACCAATAGCAGGCAGAGGAACATGGTAGCTAATAACTAGAACTGTGCATCAAGTGCCGGCTTCTTAGGCAAGTTAAAAGCTCTTCCTGCCCTCAGTTTCCCCCTGTGTAAATGGGGATCTAAATACTCCATGGGGAGTTGTGGAAGCCCAGTGAAAAAATGGGACACAGCACTTGGCACAGGGCCAGGTACACATTTTCAAACAATGGAAACACTCGTTTATGGCAGCCTGGAAATGGTAAGGGTGGTGGGTCTGGGGATGAGTGTGATGTCTACATTTTACTTTCTCAGAGTAACTGGCAAATAGAGAATAACAGAATATGTTGTGCTTCTGCAGGGCATTAGGTACTTTGCATGTCATCTCTGGAAAATTGAAGACCTTCAGTGCCTCCTGATTTACCTGGCTCTAGATCATCTTGAAGTGAAGGAAAGGCAACAAACAAACAAACAAAATAAACAAAACCAAAAACACCTCACCAAACCAACCAATCAACCAACCAAACAAACAAAAAATCCCATAGAGTGCTACATGCTCTTACTATGTATAGTTATAAAGTAATTAAGGCTTTCAATTTTTAATTTTTGTCTTTAAAGACTAATTTGAGTTAAATGTTGCAAATTCCCCAGCTACATTAAGCTTAACAAGGAACGTCTCAACTTTTTAGCTGAATAATGTCTATTATCCCTGGTAGGAATACCTATCATTATTTTAATTGACAATTTGAAATTCTTTAGAACATTAAAATAAACTAGTTTTAAAAACTCTGAAAAATCCAAATGGGTGATAGGCATAAAAATTAAAGGTCTTTCTCCAAAATATTCACTGACACAGGTGTCTAACTTTAGGACAGAATATAAGTGAATAAACATAGTAGAAAAGAGAGGGAACTGTAATGACTTAATAGAATACATCTTATTTAAAAGGTTAAATTTGGAACAATCATCTTTTATACATATGCTTAGTGCTGGGAAGCAATTTAAATAACAGAAGCAAATGAGAAAATGTGGTAAAATTACATGCACAATCAAGTTTTTTAATGGCAAGCATTACAATTAATACTCAACTTCCTTTATAACCCACATCACCTTAGAGCTACTGTTAATGTTATCTCTTGGGGCTGGCACTTAAGTGTCGCAGGTTCACTGCAGCCTATTTAGATAGTACAGTGTTTGGAGAGCTAGCAATATGAACTACGACAGGGCACCATTTTGAATAAAGGACTTGTTTATAAGAAACAGGAAACTATCTGGTCTGGTGGGAGAAAGAGTCTTAAAAAGTAAAGAACCAAAAACATCAAGTAAAAGCATGATGAAAGAGCCTGCGCTTCACTCTGATTGTGAGGGCAGATTGTTCCTCTTGTTTCTTCTGCTTTTAAATTTCTCCGGCTTAGGATGTTCTCTCTGTTCAGTTTCACCCAAGGAGTGGTGCTGCTGCTCTTGGGTATCTTCAAGGTGTGTTTCCGTTGTGGAAGGGACACGAATGCAAAGTCCTGTCCTGCGGCTGCAGTCTCAGGCATCTTTATTATGACCGTTGTTTTCATTATAGCCATTATTAAATACCAGAGGGCACTGTGGACGTGCCCCTGTTGAGGTTTCTCTGGATTTATTTAGATAATGGGATTTCTATACTAACCTCCTGTCTCTGGACATTCAACACAAGATCAATGGACACTCTTTGATTTAATTACCACAGGTGCCTGCTAAAGAGGGCACCCTGTGACTCGGAAGACTTGGGAATTACAGCAGCCTGACGGCCAGTGTTTTCAGTTCTCCTGGTTGTAAGTGTTTGAAGCCAATCAGAACTGTCCAACTGCTAGTATCGCTTTAAGAAAAGCATACTCAGATTGCATTTTTCCATTTAATTTCAACCAGGTTCATTGTTAAGAGTTGAGAGGTAGAAAATGTGAGGGAAAAACATCTATAAACAAGATGGCATTTTGAGAACTTGTTAGGGGCAAACATTAAAGTGCATACAATGCTTATGTGCATGGCTTCCCAGTAGGGTGCATTTACACTAATATAGTGATCACTTGAAGGGTTTTATTCTTTTGTCAAGCCTTCTTATATGCTTCAAATGCTTTCTCACTAGGGAAAACAATTCCCTTGCTTATTGATAGCATTTGACATGCATTCTATAACATGAGTAACTATTAGGGACTGCACTTGCTTAATAAAAATTTCAGAATGGAGGCAGATTTGGTGAGTTAATGGGCCCCATATGCTCCTCTTTCACTGACAGGATACGGTATATTGCTAACATGCGCAAGTCGCTTAGATAAAAATTGCCATCAGCTCCAGTTGTCCTTTCTGAGAATAGAACACAACGTCACAAAAGGGGGATATGTAAATGTGTCACTACATCACACTGAAGTCTCTGAGGCCAAGCAGCACTCGCAAACACGATGTAATCCTCGTGGGGTTTTTCCCCATGGGCACCACCATTTCATTTAATTTTTGATTTTCATATATTTGAGATAGTGGAGACTGCAATTTTAAAGTCAATGTTTTCTATAATAGAAAATATTTCTACCAATGAAGCTATAAATACTTCCCTTTGGATAACCAAAT